TTGACCTTACACAAGTTTGGAAACATGTATTGTCTTCTATGAGAAAAACTTTAAAAAAAAAAAAAATTCAAGCTTTCTAATGACATAAAATTCGCTGAAATCCGATTTCAAAGGAAATTTTAGTAAGCATTTTCCATTTGAGAGAGAGGATTAAAAGGTCTTTTCACAAAAACTACAAATCAGACTTGGACCGGGATTTTTATTTTATTTTGGGCCTATTTTATTATTTAAATTGGACCAATTTTTAGTAAAATGGATACCTCAAGCCCAAAAAACACTTTTCTCCACCTAAGGTTGGCAAAAAAAACACAAAAAAGAGGGCTAAAAGATACCGGCTCCGGCCAGGAGTTTTTTACAAGCGATTTTTGACCCTTTTGTTCTTTTCCTGCACAGTTGGTCTTATCGGTATATGATTTTGTTCAATCTCATATCGTCTTTGAGCTAAAAAATCACTCCTCCAAAAGCTTATATAAACCCCCCCTGCCTTCATCATTTTTCATTCAAGATTTGAGTTCAATAAGTCATTTTCTAAATTCAAAAGATTACTCTAGCATTTAGAGAAATCTTGGTTGTCTAGCACTTTTGTGCATTGATTTCACCATCTTAGTTCAAAGTTCTTGTGTTTTGTCTAGTCTTAGGTGTATTCATCTGGAGGTGAAACGGGAGTTCTTCCAAGCAACGAGGAAAACCTGACGGCATTCCCATTGTGCTTCTACGCTTCAAAAGGTTAGTGTTTTTCTGTTTTTTCATTGTTACTCATTTTCTATCTTTTATTTTTAGTCTTATTGGGCATATGACCCATATGCAATCAAGCCTCTGTTGACTTGGTTGCGTATAGATTAGCCATCTATGATTTTACTTGTTTTGTTTATCCCCTCTTTACATATTCCCTTTTTATGCATATCCCTCATTCTGACTCTCATATTCTTTTATTTTTTGCTACCTGTCATGCATAAGTCTTATCAATTTTGGATTTAAAATTATTAAGATGATGAGTAGAGGTTGACCTTGTGTTAGGCGAGGTGGGTGCGTAAAACCTTCTTACCGAGTTCTCTGGTGATGATTGATTAGTTGCTTTTATGGAGTCATTTTACGATTCTTGGTCCTTAAAAATCAAGTGGTGGTCCTAAGTTTCCATTGTTGTTTATTTAGTCACTTAGCCTATGTAGGAAAACAATAAAAGATCAATGCAGGCCATACAATGGATCCTAGTGGGTTTCGATGATAAGGCTATTCAACCGAATTTTCAACAATTTCATGGATAATGAGAATATGAAAGTTGTAAACCGATTGTGTCTATCCTCTCTCTTCTGAGAAGATGAGCAAATAGGTTAGTTGCACTCACACAAGCGTACAAGTTGAAATAAATATCTTTTATTAATAATTTATTTTAATAAATATAGGGTCTATTTTCAGAGTTCGCCTAGGGCTCAACAAAACTCAGGATCAACCCTGCCATCCACCACCCTTCCACAATCACCACATTCATCACTATTGTCATTGTTATCCACAAGCACCACTATCATTTCACTACCACCACCACAATTGACACTGTCATTACCAACTCTTCATTTCCAAAACAACTGTCACTTTTGCCAGAACCACCACTATCATTCAACTACTACAATAACCACCATTATTATACTACCGTCACCCCACTTTTTATCTCTACTCAACTATCCATCCACCATTACCACAACAACTATCTCTCTATCTCCACCATCAACTCGCTATCACAATATAAAATTAAAAATGTAATTTAAAAATAAGAAATTTTAAATTTAAGAATATACTATCAAACAACTTATTTTAGTTCAGCTCTTAAATTTTTACCAAATAGGTTTTCAACTTAAAAAATTCAACATTCTATTTTTAGTACTTAATTGTTAGTCTCAGTCTTAAATTATGGTTTATAGCTAAAACTTTTATTTGAATTTTTTATTTAAATATTTTAAAATTATACATGATTAAAATTTCATTTGGACATTTCGTTAAACTTTAAATTAGCTTAGATGTTGTTAATTTTATTTTTTTTATTTTTTTACATTCTACCTATAGATTTTTTTTTAAAAATTTAAAATTAGATATAGTTAGATAGGCAATAATTTTATGCCACATGAACTTTTTAGTTTTCAAAACTAAAAAATAATAGAAATTTTGGTTAATATTTTGAAGTAAATATTTTTAAAATTTCAAATTATATTATTACATTTTAAATTTCCTTTTAAAGATTTTTAAATTCAAAATTAGATGTAATTTAGATATAGTTAAAAGATATGACTAAAATATATTTTCTGAGATTCTATATAAATATTTTTAAAATTTTAAATAATAGACATGACTAAATAGGCCAAGATTTTTATGCCATGTATACTTTTAACTTTTAAAAATAAAATAATAAAATTAATATTTTGATGTTTCACGAACTTTTTTGTAACTTCCCAGACCTGCATTTGATTAATTAGTTTTCTAATTACATTTTTACGTGTTAATTGATTATGTGATTTAATGTTTTACATGAATTATTTGATAAAGTGATTTAATTCCGACTCAAATAGTTAATATAAGATTTTATGGATTCAATTTGACACATATGGGATTGATATATATGCATGATATTTATATATGAATGATTATCTTATGTTTAATTGCAAAAATTTATATGTCTATGAGCTTCTGATTCAATAATTTAAACATGATTGAATAATTATAATTTAATGTGTATGAGCTTAATTTAAGTTCAATTGTGCAATTAGTGAACTTAATAAGGGTTGTATATGATTAGATTATTTATATTTAATTAGTTTGATTAATGTGTAAGGACATGTATTTGAACCTGTCTGAGTCAGTAAACCAGAATGTTAGAATTATATATTCGGATAGGTGTTTAGAGCCTAATTCACATTTGTACAGTTTAAGTAAATGTATAAATATATTTAATTTAATTTAGTTTAGTGAGATTGATTAGCCAAAACTTAGAATTAATTAAAGCCTAATTAAGATTAGTGCCTAATTAAACTTCTAATCCTACTCATCAAATTAAGAAAGGAAGAGATGTTTCAGATAGAGAGAGAGTGGGTTTTGGTGGAGGAGCTCATTCTTGAGAGGGAGAGAATAGTTTCTAAGAAGAAGAACAAGAGGTTGAAGAGGAAGAGCTTGATAACTCATCAATCTAAGGTAGGATTTCTCTTCTAATTTCTTGAATTAGAGGTGTTACACTCATGAGTTAAAGGAATATAAGCTTAATTAGAAAGAACTCATGCTTAATTGTGACTTTTGTGGTGTAAGTTGATGTAGTAAACCTATATGAACATTCAAGACAAGAAATGAAGTATTTAGCTCACAAATTTAACATGCATGGCATAAATTCATAAAATTCATGTTCACACATTTGACTTCTTGCATGGTTCTTGAGAATTGAGAAGAAACTCCATGGATTTTGAAGTTTGGAACATGCATGACTTGGTAGGGAAGAATTGAAGAAATTAACTCATAATCTCGACATGCATGGTACAATTGATGGAAATTCATGATCAAATTTTTGCTTCCTTGCATGACTTACAAGTTTTCTAAGGAATTTTCCATGAAAAATGAGGTTGTAACTCTTAACTATGTGTTTTATGATTTTACCATGTAACTCAAAGAATTGTGAATTATAGATAAAAATTTGGGTTTTGTTCCAAAGGTTATGATTTGAATTTGAAGCTAAACATTTAAAATTCAAGTTGTTTTTAAGAATTTTTGGGTTGAATTACTTGAATTTAAAGTTTGAATTTGAAGAATTTGAGTTCCACATTTTGAGCTAATTTTCGGACTGGTTTTGAACCCAGACTGCACGTGCGGCATGAGGCCTCACACATGCTGAACACCTTCCCCTGTTTCACTTCAACCACTGTTTTAATTGCATGTGCGACCCGCATGTGTAGTGATGGTTCTGCACATGCGGCCAAGGCCCTCACACGTGTGGTTTTCAGGACAGTGTACCATTTTGTTTTCTCTTCATTTTTCTGATGCATGGGCCTTCATTCGCATGATTTAAATTGACATTTTACACTCATTTGCATACCTTGAATAAAAAAGAATTTACGGGACAAAAAGAAATGACTTAATGAACACGTGTCAAACGTTTGGAATAAGTTTAAGACCCGATTAATAAATCGAATGTGTTGTGCTTGGATATGTTTTTGTAGGTTGATTCGTTGAAATGTATCATCCGACCAAGTACTGTGAGTAACATTATTGTAAAGATATGTTCATATGAATTATGTTCGAAATGTTAACCGATAAGCTATGATTTCTGAAATGTTTTTTTGTTTAAGTGAACGAATGTCCTATTTTGATCTATCATGGCATCCATAGAAAGTCTCAAGTCATGGGGGGGCAGCATATTAATGCTGGTCCATGACAAATGTACATTTATAAGATCACGCTAGCCACTTGACAAAGTAGTGTTATGTTTGATAATCGGCGTCCAGGACCGATTACTCTAGCTGGATGACAATATGTTTTGTTCTGTTAGATGTAAAATTATTATGTTCAGATATGAGAATGATTATGATATGCTTTGTTTTATGTTTATGAAATGTTCGAAATTCATTCACTAACCTCTTTACTTTAATGTTATTCACTGAGCTTTAGCTCATTGTGTGTATATATATGTATAGGTGAGTGCCTTGATGAGCAAGCCCAGAAGGAGACTTTTAGCCGAGCCACAAACTAAAGCCCTTTTGAGTTTTGTTTTGGTGCCTCCAAGTTAAGGCTAAGTTCAGTTGGCTTTTGGCAAATGTTATGTACATAAGGTTAAAGTTTTGATGATATGTATATATGTATAAATGTTTTTGTACATGTTGATATGTATGTATTCAAGGTGGTATATTAGCGTAATTATGTGTTGGTTCATATAGTTAGCACAGCTCAATGGACTTGTAAGTTTCTGAAGAATATCGTGTATTCAGATGTATTTGTTTACAAAGAGTTCATTAGTTTATATAGCCCTAAAACTATGACTGAAAAAGGAAATACAAAGATTACAATGATTCCACAATCTTGCTTAATTCCTAATATACACAATCATGCCATATATACAATATATATTCTCACACCCCCGCTCAAACTCAAGGTGTTTTAGCAGAAAACACTGAGAGTTTGCTAAGAAGAAACTGAAAACGAGCAGTAGTATGAGTCTTGGTGAAGAAATCCACAAGTTGCAAAGCCGAGGAGACGAAAGGAAGCGACATAGAGCTAGACTGCAGATGTTGTCGGACAAAGTAACAATCAATCTCAATGTGTTTTATCCATTCATGGAAGACAATATTGTTGGCAATTTGAATAGCACTACGGTTGTCATAATAGAGACAAGTCGGAGAAGACTGAGGTACACCTAAATCAGAGAGAAGACAACAAAGCCAAACAAGCTCAGCAGTAGTATGAGCCATAGCACGGTACTCAGCTTCGATAGTAGAGCGAGCATCAACAGTTTGTTTCTTGCTTTTCCAAGAGATCAAGGAATCGCCAAAAAACATATAGAAACCAGAGTTGGATTTGCGATCAGTAACATCACCAGCTCAATCAGAATCAGTATGGGCCACCAAGTCTAAAAAGGCAGTAGAGGACAACAGTAAGCCTTGAAAGATAATACCCTGGAGGTAGCAAACAGCGCGAACCAAAGCAGCCCAATGAGGAGAGCGAGGAGCAGAAACAAACTGACTAACCACATGAATAGCATAAGCAAAATCAGGGCGATTGACAATCAAATATACTAAACAACCCACCAGCTCGCGATAGACTGTAGGATCATCCAGAGGGACAACATCAATAGAGTTGAGCTTCACATTAAGCTCAATAGGTGTATCAGAAACCTTAGTATCAGTAAGACCAGCATGGTGAATAACCTCATTAGCATACTTGGCCTGAGATAGAAAATAACCCTTTGGAGAAGAGGCAGCCTCAATACCAAGAAAATACTGCAATGGACCAAGATCCTTCATTTCGAAGGTACAGAAGAGATGTTGCTCGACCTCAGAGATAGTAGAAGAGTCAAAGCCAGAGATAATCATATCATCCACATAGAGTAGAAGAGCAACAAAACTAGTCGATGTATGTCTCAGAAACAAAGCAGAGTCAAAAGTAAAAAAGTGAAGCCCAAGCTCGGTAACAGCAGTCTGAAAGCGATCATACCAAGCATGAGGAGACTGCTTCAAACCATACAAAGCATACTAAATATGACAAACCTGTTCAGAGAAGTGGAGAAGACCAGCGGGAGGACGCATGTTGACCTTCGCAGTGAGATGATTGTTAAGAAAAGCATTCTTAACGTCCATTTGATAGAGAGGCCAATGTCGAACAGTAGCAATAGAAATCAAGGTACGGACAGTAGTCATCTTGGTAACAGAATGTCTCCTCATAATCAATACCATACTCCTGCGAGAAACTCTTAGCAACCAAGCGAGCTTTGTAGCGCTCGAGAGAACCATCAGAATGAGTCTTGACTTTATAGACCCATTTGCAACCAAGCAGATTCTTGGCAGCAAGCAAAGGAACCAACTTCGAAGTGTTAGTCTTCTGCAAGGCAAACAACTCATCCTCCATAGCTTGAACCCAATTAGGATCCTGACAGGCCTCCGTGTAAGACTGCGGTTCTGAAAAAGAATGAATAACAAACAAAAAAGTACGATAGGAAGTAGAAAAACATGTGTTAGACCAACCCAACCTGTTTAGAGGACGATGATCATGAGTAGGATAACGGTGTGTAGTAGGATCAGAGTTGTCAGAAGCAGAAAGAACAGCAACAGGAGTAGAGACAACTGATGGTGGGGGAGCCTGGCGACGAGAATAGACCAACAACGGAGGAGAAGAAGAAGTCGAAGGAAGAAAATGAGCCATGGGTGACGCAAACGAAGAAGTAGAAATCGCCTCAGGAGGAATAGTGGAGATGTACTCATCAGACGGGACCTCAAAAGAGAATGGATCAATGTGAACCAAATCCTATTTGGAAATGGGAACAGTTAGAGGGGGAAGCTGAAAGTAAGGCAGACGTTCAAAAAAGGCAACATAACGGGAGATATAAAGGTAAAGAGAGACAGGGTCGTAACAACGGTAGCCTTTCTGAGTAAGACTGTAACCCAAAAAGACACATAAAATAGATCGGACACTAGTTTGGTCCTATCTTTACGGGGAAGAAAGACAAAACAAACAAACCCAAAGACACGCAAGAGGGAATAATTGGGAGGTTAGGAATACAAATCCTTATAAGGGGATTGACCAGAGAGTAGGGGAGTCGGCATGCAATTAAGGAGGAATGCGGCAGTAAGAACTGTCTCACCCAGAATGGTACCGGAACAGAGGCAATGAGAAGAAGAATCGAGCTGTCTCGAGGAGGTGACGGTGTTTGCACTCAGCATGACCATTTTGGGCAAGGGTATCAGTACAGGAGGTTTAGTGAATGGTGCATAATGTAGCCAAATACTCACAGAATTCAGTTTTAAAGTATTCCCCACCCAAGTCAGATCGGAGTATTTTAATTGTGGCCCCAAACTGTGCAGTGATCATCGACTGAAAGGTACGATATATCTAGTAGAAGTCAAATTTATAAGCCATAAGATAAACCCAGGTACAGAGGGTATAATCATCAACAAAAGACACATAGTACGCAAAACCCGCTTTAGTGAGAACATAAGAAGGTCCCCAGACTTACATACAAGAGAAAAAGAGGAAACAAAAATAGAAGTATTGTTATTAAAAGGTAAAGCTGTCATTTTAACAAGTTTACATCCTTGACACTTATTAATTTGACTAGGAGAAACTTTACCTAAAAATCATGACTGAGCTAAAGACTGCAAGCGGTTAACAAACAAATGACTTAAGCGAGAATGCTGTAAATAAAATAGACTCGACTGAGAATCTAACTAAAAGGATGAAAATGCAACGGGGAGAAAAACAGAGGAAGATGCAAACTTTCTACCACATAGAGATCTCCAGCTCTACGACTGGTCCCAATCTACTTCATGGACGCCCGATCCTGTACACAATAGATAGAAGAAGAAAAAATAACATCAAAACCAGAAGCATCAAGCTGACTGATAGAAAGTAAGCTAACAGACAGTTGAGGAACATAAAGAACAGAGAGAATAGTAACAACAGACATGACAGAAGATAAGACAGACCCAATAGATAAGACAAACAAACTAGACCCATTTGCAGTATTAATAGTAATAGGAAAGGAATGGGGGATACAGTTTTGGAGTAAGGAAAGGTGATGAGTCATATGATGAAAGGCACCAGAATCAAAAAGCCACATAGAGGAAGGAATGCCTGAAGAGGACCCAAGCAAACCTGAATGAAAAGAGATGAGAGTAGAGGCAGATAAAGATTACTAAGAGGTTGACCAGAGATGCCGAAACTAGGCAATCTGGGCATTCAAGGAAGCCAAGTCAGGATCAGAAACAGGAGCACAGACAATATAAGTAGCAGAATGGCGAAAAGTACTTGGAGCAGGACCTCAAAATTGTGGCTGAGACGGCTGAGAAGACTGAGCAAACTAACGACTCTTCTTGGGACCATTGTACTTCTAATGGCCCTTCTGATGGAAAAAAGCACACTCATCAGAGGCTAGTGGCCCCTTCTTGGGCTTTGCAGTGACCTGAAGCTAATGAGGGAGGTTCGACAACAGAGGAGGCTGAATAGGAGCTGAGAAGACAGGTGGAGACAGAGTCTGACTGGCCATCTTAAGACGGGTTTCCTCGAAAGGAGCTCACAAACAATAGCATCCATAAAGGGGAAAGAAGACCGATGAAGGATGCCACCACAGATAGCCTCATACTGGGGGGAAAGAGCTGTTAAGAACTGCACTAAACGACCCTGCTCCCAAAACTCAACATAAGTGTTTAGTACCTTGAAGCTAGGTGGTTCCATGGGAGCCAATTGATCCCAGAGACCTGTCATCTCAATATAGAAACCCTGAATAGTCTGACCCGTTGATGAGCACTCTGAATAGCTGTTTCCAACTCATACCGCTTGGCAAAGTTGGACTGCTGATAAACATCCAGTAAATAATCTCACACCTCCTTGGCAGTACTGTATTTAGAAAACATCATTCCAATACGGTCATCCAGAAAATTATGAAACCAGTTCAGAACTTGGGCATTATCACAATCCCAAGTATCACAGGAAGTCAGATATCCCTCCGCCTTTGAGTCCAATGGCCGTGGAACATAACTAGAAACATATCCCCACTTTTTCTGACCAAGAAGAAAATTCTTCATAACACTGGTCCAATAGGCATAATTGTTACTAGTGAGTTTGCACTTGATAGCTTGGATTTTAGTGTCCGACATTATAATGAAACAAGGGTTATAGAATTAAGGGTTATGAAACAAGGGTTATAAATTTATAATATTTAGAAGGTACTGGGGTCAAACAATAATAAACCTAAAAAAAAATTTAAGTTTACTAGCCCCAAACCAAAACCAGGTTACCATGAGCAGAGAGAGAGATACAATGGTCGCGAAGGAGAGAAACATAATTCGAGATGAGACGAAGCACAGATGAGACCAAGCGAAGCAGATATAGCCGAGGGAGACAACAACGACGACGCGACGATGAGAAGTAGCAAAGATGGCTGAGGGAGACGACCGTTCTAGGGCTCGCAAGCACACAGACTGATCACGACTTTTCAATCGTAATCCGAAAACCAGAGAAGGCTGAGGTAGATGACAGTGTTAGGGTTTGCGAGCACAGAGACTAATCAGAGACAACTGAGGAAGATGACGGTGCTAGGGTTACGAACACAGCTCTGATACCATATAAGTTTCTGAAGAATATCGTGTATTCAGATGTATTTGTTTACAAAGAGTTCATCAGTTTATATAGCCTTAAACCTATAACTGAAAAAGGAAATACAAAGACTACAATGATTCAACAATCTTGCCTAATTCCTAATATACACAATCATGCCATATATACACAATCATGCCATATATATAATATATATTCTTGCAGGACCATCTGTTGTATATATGTTATAAGCTTTTGTTAGCCCCGATTAATTTTGATTTGTACAAGAAGGCCTTTGGTAATCTTGGATTACTGACCGGTCACCTCACTGACCCTTACGGGGCAGGGTTCGGGTCCTGACACTTTTAGATAAAAATTGATGGAATGGCGCTTTTAAATTGCATAGATTGAAGCATCCTCATTAGCTACACAATAGCTAAGAACATCAAGCACATTCAATGAAGATGGACAAAAAGTAAAAACATCAACTTTCAACAATTTCCTTACCTTTTCTTCTTTTTCACTTCTTTCCATTCATTTAGCTTAACTCGAATTAAATTTTAGACTAACTAGGATACGACTTTGTTGAATGACCAAATATTTTACAATCTTCACACACTTGAGGTTTCCAAGGAACTTCTCCTTAGATTTTAAAAGGTTCTCCATATCCTAAGTTAATAACAAAAGAACCAAGGCCTTTGACTTAGTAGTTATGTAATACCATTTTGTGATCTAAAGTTTCAGGTTCAAATCTTTATAGAGAATAGTTTGATATCTTTTGTGGTTCCCTCTTCTCCTACTAACAACTAATATCTAAGCCCTACCGATGTATATCATATTAAAGGAAGTTGGGATCTACTTATTAACTTTCGTCTCGATACAAATTCTAGCAAATGTTAGGTGGCTGTGACTTTGAGTAAATTCATCAAGGTACAATAGATTACCAATAACACTTGCTAGGTAACTCAGTCTCTGTTGGAATGTGTCCCACATCACCTGGAGTTACCCCATCTATGTTGATTATAAGGCTCCAGTTTCCCTCTTCTTAATTTCTGGGTTTTAAGGAGAAGTACGAATTGAGGTTTTCAATTTGGTATCAAAGCTTGGTTTGTATGTTGTGGTCCTCAGTTCAAAGTTCAATAGGTACATTAAAAAACTTTATCTAAATCGGCCCTCTTGAGAAAACATTCTTTGTGAGAGGCATGCCCAGGTGCCATTTCTTGATCACAATCAATTTACTCCCAAAATAGGGTAAATTACACATTACACAGCTGTACTTTGCACCAAATCTCACTTTGGCCCCTACTCATGAAATCATGATAGTCAACCCTCTGTACTTTTGATCAAATCTCACTTTGGTCCCTGTACATGAAATCATGACAGTCAACTCCCTACACTTTCACTCAAATCCCATTTTGGTCCCTACACAAGTGTCAATGTCCCTCTTTTGTTATTTCATTTTTAAATCTTTAAAAAAATCCAGTCAGGTGACAAAAATATGACTACAAAATGAGGGTAAGAGAGAAAAATCATCTATGTTTCTCACCAATACACTTTGTCCTACGTAATAAGCACATGAGAGTTATGTAATACAACATATATATATATA